ATTATATAATATTATTCGTGGGTACCTACTTGAAACTTCTAAAGTTTACTATTATATATCAATGATAGTATCAGGATTTGTTATTGATGTTGATGTATAACGTGTTATAAGTACCTAATGGATATTGTGATAATGTGATATTTATTGGAATTTATTATAGGTCAGTGACGCACTTGTAACCTACAGTACAGCAGAGCGACATCCACTTACCCACCTTTTTTCAATTGTATTTGTCACAGCTAATTTATAAGTTGAGTCAAGTATGTTGTTTTGAATACTTGACGATGTCGATAATATACCACAACCTATTTCTACATCATCCGTATTTAATCTAAATAATAATAGAAAAATTTATCAGCTTGGCTCAAAATTTGAGAAAATTCGTAAATAAAATAAAAGTATATTACGAACAATTCAATACTACTTTGTTGGTTATCGTCACTATTTTGACTTTCATCTGGAAAAGTCAAACTATCGGTGTTTACCTATGAAAAACATACACAAAAATAAAAAATAAATTATTCAACAATGTAGGTACTTAATTCACTTACCGTCTTTTTTATGCGATGTAATTGCCAATTTACAAGTGATGAACTATTTCCTCTATTTTTTCTTACTCTAGATAATCTAGATTTTTTAGTTTTCATTTTACCCGAGTTATTATTACAACAAATTACACTTTATGCAAATTAAAATTACAATTTACAAAAATAATGTAAGTAAACCGATACGTATTACGTATATAAACTGTACGCTACAAAAAGTAAGGGACAATATATTTTGTAGTAAGCTGCGGTGCGAAGCTCAAAATATGAACAGTATTGAATGCAGACAAAATATAACAAATTACCAGTATATGTATATTCATATAGTTCTATTAATATTCAGTCTATCGCGGTCTTCGTGGACCGTGGCATGCGATAAGGATAACCGATGGTTTCGAAGAATCACCTACGCACGCGGCATGCGCAGGCACAAGTCACCACCGCGTTGTCGCGCGCGTGAACAATCCAGAACGTGTGTTTTATTTGATTAAAACTATGTACCTTATGTCAATCCTACAGATTGATCTAATAATGCGATAATATTTCAGAAAACTAATCTGAATTCGTTATGATGTCGACTTGAGATCGGTCAGTCCACATTTTAAGATTTTTGATTTTAATTCCGAAAAATTAACGTTTGAAAATTCCTAAAATTTAAAATATTCAAACCAAATTTATAGGAGTTGGGGGGTAAAATTTGGAAAAGTGGACTGACCGATCTCAAGTAGACATAATCACAAATTCAAATCAGTTTTAAAAAGTATTATCGCATTTCTAGGTCGATCAGTACGATTGACAAAAGACTGGTATCTTTTGGCTAAAATAACTGATCGCCACCAATCCCCTTAAATATTTTTAAACTTCTATTAAATAAATTTATAAGGAACTTTGCATTCAATTTTCATGCTTTTTTACTAAGTCAAAAAGTTTTTATTGATAGAAATTTAAGGAAAATTTACAAAATACGAAAAATTTCTCAAGGCTAAAATTAGCTCAAAAAGAGTCAAAATATTTCGAAAGAGTTATTATACATGGAAAATTATAGCAAAAATATTTGGTGAAAGTTTCAAATGTCTACGATTATTAGTTTTTGTCGTTTTTGAGTTAAACCAAAAAAAAATTTTATTAAAAATTAGTTCTGTATAAATTACCACTTTTTAAAATTAATTTTTGATTTTTCTAATGCTTTTTAAAGCTACTGAGAATTTTATATTTTGTTATATTAGTTCAAAATACGATACAAAAATCGTATCTATAAATTAAGAAATATGTACCTACTATAACAACTCGATGGCCCTTGAAAAAAAACGAGCTAAGTTTATTATAATTAATTATTAATTATAAGAAAGTACACTTTGTGAACGATCAATCACGGTGAAACAACTTCGAATCGCCGATAGTTGAATGGTAAGAACTTCGAATATTGTCAACTGTTGACGGCTGATTGCCTAATGCCTGGTTCACCCTACATTTTACTTCAAATAACGCTGTGTGTATACCTACCCTACCTGATTGCATTGTTTTTCTTCGAATTTCCTCAAAATCATCAAGGGACCGAGCATTTTCTTCAAATTACTTATAGTTTCGAACTCTCAAAGGTTTAAACTTTAAAATATCAATTGTAGGTAAATCAATAATTATAAACATTGTATGTTCTTATAATCCCTACATGTATAGACGTATAGATGAAAAGAAAATGAATAAATTTCCAACAATTAAAATTTCTAACTTACAATAATTACTTATTAGTATGTACCTATATTAAGCACCCGCGTATATTGCACACTAATTTTCCGTACATTATTTAAATTGATTAAAGGAGCTATTGTGATAGGACATTTAAAGAATGTCGACTGCAAACGTGTTATGACCAAAGTCCAGCGTATCCAGGAGTGTATCCGAGAAATCTTAAGTGCAATTATTGGCTGAACACTAAAAATCCGTTTATCCGTCTGTACATACAAAATGAAGAATTCAACGTGGACGGTCAGCGATGTGAAAATATAATCACATGCCCTATGAGACCGATAACTTCAGGTAACCATACAATAATACAGTTTTTATTACATCTATGAACAATTATACAATATTTTCAGTAAAAAAAAAAGGTGGGCAAGTGGATGTCGATCTGCTGTACAATAGGTTACACGTGGGTTAATGTATAATGGATTGTATTTAACTTGAATTCAATGATATAATTTCATTGTATAAGAAAAATAGTTCTGAGCAGAGATGGTTTATCAGTCTGGATATTTTGTTTTTATATTTTTTTATAGCCTGCAAGTTGAATTAATATTATTATTTTTTATTCGTTTCTATGGTGATAAACAAAGCGTTAGAAATTAAAATCCCATTTTTAGCGGTTTTTCAAAATTTGTCGGTGGTTTTTCCCATGTAATTAAATAACTGTTGAGAAAATCGAAAAATGACCTCTTCAAAGTACCATTTTGATCCAATTTTCTAAAAGATAAGATACTTTATATCGAATTCGAAGAACTTCTCTGGTAGAAATTTTGTATACAGGGTAAAAAAAATACCATTGTTATACCATACTAGCTTCTTCGCTCTGCTTAGAATCTAAAAAAAAACACACATCATTATGATATCAATATATATCTATAACAAAGGTTGGAAAATATTAAGCTTCCGGAAAAACGATTATGAACGGGTTTGGCTCGTACAAAAGTGGCTTAGTATTAATTCTTAGAAATTGATAATATCCACTGTTTTTCACAATATTTTTTAAAACTATTAGGACAATTTAAAAATGAAATTTTTAGGTATGTACCTACGTGTTTTTTTAAATAACATAATAAGTTAATACAAAACTGGTGGTAACTGGTAGCTGTATAATATATGTCGATAGCAGACAATATTTTAGTGTGCATATTATACCTAAGATATATGTTTTTTGACTTATAACACAATATATCATGACGTATAAATGATATTTTGTTCATATTTATATTTCTGGGCTTTTTTTCCATGTTCTTTTCTTCCGCATACCCTCACGAACGTATATACAGTGCAATAGCTGGTATTATTGTTAAACTAAAAACTACTTAATAATATATATGTTGTAGCCATTTTATCACACGTTTTCATTTCACTATTCGACCAATAATATTATCAGGTTTTGTGGTAACCGTTAAACCGTATACGGGCTGCATTTGTACAAGGTATCATAGAATAAAGATATTTTAACAAACATTGAAAGGTCAAAAACGAGTGAATCGTCTACATACTTGATAAGTTTTAGATATTGCTGAGAGGACGGACGGTATAGTTAGGATTTTAGGATTTTAGAAGAATTTTGATTTTTGGCGTTATTACTCATGAACGCGTTACATATCAAATGGGGAAATATCGAGAAAAACGGCAGACAATATCAACATATTTGGGAGGACTGTAGGGTTACCAAAATGTTTTTGTAAAGCGTCATTTTGCGCCACGAAATAGCTGAGCTCTCTTTGTACAGTAAATACACGAACTGCAATAATATTATTAGATTAAAATGGTTAAATCATTGTATTTATTTTAGATAAACTACTCATTTGTTTTATTGATCAAATACGACAAATTCGATACGATAAAAATTAAAATAGTAAATATTCTTTAATTTCCTGTCAAAACATTTTAGTCAATAAATAATATTGTGCATTTATCTAGTATAATTACATAACAGCCGTTTATTATTAATCCCAATAAATTACTTTTTCTGTAAGAAATTTAACTACATATTTATGTACCTCCCAACTATTTTTTAACTATAGTTATAAATAATAATTATATTTTAGATTCTAGTGGTTTTACAATAGTGTATATTTTTATTTTTTGTTTTTTTTTAATGTAGGTACACAAAGTTTTCACCAGAAGGAATACTTCGATTTCAACATAATAATATACTACATTATCTTTAATAAATTACGAAAAAAGGGGATTTTATATCGTCCACATATTATGCTTGATAAGTTTTAGATAAGTATTGCTGAGAGGACGGTAAGTATAATTAGGATATCAGGATAATTTTTATTTTTGACGTTTCTAATCGATGGCTCACGAACTTACATATCGAATTTTGCTATACCTGGTATCATGATTAAGCTAAAAAATAATTAATAATATATATGTTGTAGCCATTTTATTACACGTTTTTATTTCACTATACAACCAATATTATTATCAGGTTTTGTGGTAACCGTTAAACCGTATACGGGCTGCATTTGTACAAAGTATTATTTTTTTTATTATTATTATTATTATTATTATTATTATTATTATTATTTATTTATTACGGGCAGTGAGCCCAATATAATGCACAGAAATATATAAATTATATTTTTTTTTTTTTTAGGTACATGATAGTAATAATACAACAACCTACTGATATCTAATAAACAAGTGAGGGTGCTCATTGCCAAGGCGCATCATCCTGTCAATTGGTTGGTTTCTGCCTTAATTGGTCGTGTGTGGAGTAATAGCGAAGGGAGCGGATGACCTAGTTTGACGGGAAGGAACTTTAAAACCAACTTGTGCGAGTAGGGAAGGAGCATCAATAGATCCATCAATTAGTTTGTGTAAAAAGAGTAAGTTAGCCTCAACTCTTCTGTCGGCTAAAGAGACAAGACCTAGTTTTTGCATGACTGGTTGGTAGTCGTGAGGTGGATGGTTAATTTTCAGAATAAACGCTGATGAGCTTAAAAATCTTCTCTGGACACGTTCTATAAGAGATGAATCCACTGCCGTGCAGGGGTCCCATAGTACTGAGGCGTACTCAAGAAGGGATCTAACAAGGGAACAGTAAATAGACTTGAGTGAAGCAGACAATTTAAACTCTTTAGATAATCGTAGCACAAAACCAAGTGTCTTTAGAGATTTACAGCACATTGCTTCGATATGAGAGTGAAAGCTCAGTTTAGGACAGAGTATAACACCTAAATCTTTTTTCATAGATACCGATTCAACGATTGAATTATTGATGATATATGTATATTTGATAATAGACCTACTTCTAGAGAATGACATACTGTGACATTTATCTGTATTGAACTGTAGTCCAATAGAATTGAACCAGGATACCATGGAATTTAGGTCACTTTGTAAAGAGTCACAGTCACTTAATGTGTCAACACGACTAAAGATTTTAAGGTCATCTGCAAACATAAGGAACTTGGCGGAGGGTATCACATTTTTTAGGCCATTAATAAACAGTGAAAAAATAATAGGGGACAAGTGGCCTCCTTAAGGAACACCCGAGGGAATTTCGATCGCTTTGGATGTATGTCCAAAAACTTTGACCCATTGGACTCTGCCTGTTAGGTACGATTTAAGCCATGAAAGAATAGGCTCACCAAATCCCGACTTGTACAGAACATCCATGAGAGTTTGGTGATCGACTCTGTCGAAAGCTTTAGCAAAATCCGTGAATATGACGTCAACCTGAGAGTGCTGCTCGAAAGCTTTAAAGATGTAGTTGTTAAGTACAATTAAGTTTGATACAGACGAGCGGCCAGGTCTGAAGCCATATTGTTCGTCAATTAATATATTGTTAACCGAAGGTTGAATATTCCGTAGCACCAGTAGCACAAACAACTTGGCAATATGACTTAAGATTGAAATAGGTCTATAATTTTTCACATCAGACTTATCCCCTGATTTGAATATTGGGGTTACAGAGCTCATCTTCAGAATTTTTGGAAAGACACCCAAATCCATAGAACGCCTAAATATCAACCATAGAGGATAGCATAAGGCCGACTTGATGTTGAACAAAAAAATACCAGATAAGCCATCAGGTCCGGTAGATTTAACGTTTTTTAAAGCAGAGAGACCAACATCAACATCATCGACAGAGAAAATGCAGTCACTAGGTAAATTAAAATGGGAAAAAGGAGTGCCAGGGTCGTAATGATTATGGACATTTGGTAGATAGACTGACTTGAAGTACGATGAGAAGATATGGGGAATCGACTCAGGCCCAGAACTAGTTGTATCGTTGTAGAAGACTGAATTAGGGATTCCACTGCCAGATTTATGTTTGCGTACGAAGTCCCAAAAGGAACGTGGATTTTTGTTTAGTTGCTTTTCAGTGCGAGACAAAAATTCACTATGACATTTTTTGTACTCAATCTTATATTGCGCCCGAAGAGTAGAAAACTCAGAGTAGTCACGAGGACACTGAGTTGATTTATACTTCGCATGCTTCTTTCTTTTTTCCCAAACAATAGACTTTAGATCTCTAGAAAACCAACTAGGAAATCTTGAAGGTTTGTACTTGACTTCAGGAACAAAATTTAAGACACAATAGTGCAAGGCGTCAAAAAGTGCGTGCGTTGCTGAGTCAATATCAAGTGAAGTAATGGTTAGAAGCCAATTAAACGAATTCAAAAATGAGCAAATCTGCGTATAACAACCTTTACTAAAATCAAAGAAGTTATGCGTGTTATCAATAGATGGCAGTTCATGGTCAAAAGTGAAAATTAAGTCCAAAGCTGGATGGTAAGGATCACTTGGTACAACCGCAGTATCAGATTTTGTAATACACGTGTTAGGGTTATTAGAGAATACTAGATCAAGGATATTACCTGAAGAGTTAGGTACACTATTTAATTGAAAAAAGTTGTGAAATGCAAATATTTCGGGCACGCAATGTATTCAGGTACCTGAGACAGAAGAGTAAGAAAGCCCATAGTTGTCGTTAGACCAGCTTACGTTTGGAAGATTAAAATCGCCACAAAATAAGAATACACAATCGGAGTGGGTAGAGATTATAATTTGGACAGCTGACATAAAGGACTCATAGATATGGATAGGGCTGTTTGGAGGGATGTAAACGGAGCAAACAATAAATGCAACATTATTGGTTGAAAATTTCACAAATACATGTTCAACATTGAAAACTGATGTGGGCAATAACTCACATAATATGTCATTACGAATGGCAATGAGCACACCACCACCTCGACGACAATTACTAGTTAAATTATTTCTATCACATCGAAAAATAAAATAGTTTGACAAACCTAATTCATTATCATAAAAACTATCGGTGAGCCATGTCTCGGTTAAACAAACAAAAATATAATTAAAAACGTAAACATTACATCTAAATAAATCGAGTTTAGATCTAAGACCTCTACAATTTTGGTAAAAGCCAAGGAGTACATTAGAGCTTAAATTGTCTATAAGTTTTTTGGAGCTGAGTTCAGCGACATACCTGGTTGCAAACGTCGCCAGAAGCGCTTCACAATGACACCTTCAGGCCAAAATGAAGGTTCCAGTACTTCATTTAGGTTTTGAAGTGGCAATTGGATATGGAAGGAGGCGTATGTAGGGTGTTTGGTCGTAAGTTGAGTGATAGTGATGTCATCCAATGTAGGGAACAGTTCAGTTTTAAGCATCTCAGTGGTAACATGCGGATCTAGTCTTGAGACGAATATATCCGAGTGTTTACGGATAGGTGCGGCAGAAATCTTCGTGGGTTTTTGATTACCAGATCCGATAATAAACTTAGTAGATTCCGTTGGTAATGGTCGTTTTGCAGCTGAGATCTTACTCCCAGATGTTGGTTGGGTCGCTTGCATAGTAACTATTGGAGGTCTGTGCTTAACGACATTATCAGTGGATCCAGTCATACCAAGACGGTTGAGCTTATCATGCATTTTCAGATTACTTTCGGAAAGGGTTTTAAGTTCGGAAACAATCGATTGGAGTATGTTTGCAACATCTAATGAGTTAGATGGGGGCATAACGGGATCGGTTGGGCTAAAAAGTTTTTGTGACAATTCATCACTTAGCTTGATACCAGATGGGAGTGATTTGGATAGGATAAAATCCACCAACATTGACTTGGTCCATTTTCCCAGCTCAGATGATAGTATTTCCATGTTTGGGAATAGAGTAATAAATTACTTTAATTACGCCTTGAAATTGTACAGATGAGACAGCCTTATAATAAGCAGTTAGGCAACCGCAGTAGCAACACTGCAGTATAACGAGGGCTCGTCAACTTTAATACCGAGCGTTTAAGTTCCCAGGTGCAAGCGGTAAGCCGATCAGCTGTTCAGATATTGCATTGATAAGGAGATATCCGCAATGATAGAAAATTAGTTGGCAAAAATAATAGTTGGTAAGTTACCTCAAATAAAGCAGGAAAATCAGCGATTGTGCACTCGGAAACACGCACAGTAAATCAACGATAGTATATGAATATAAGCTAACGAAATTAGTGAGCGTAAGAGAGCAATATGTATCAAAATAAATTAGTACAAATGAGCTGCAACTAGAACTTGTTATCACTCGGTATTATTGAATAAACATATTATAACAAACATTGAAACGTCAAAAACGAGTGAATCGTCTACATACTTGATAAGTTTTAGATATTGCTGAGAGGACGGACGGTATAGTTAGGATTTTAGGATTTTAGGAGAATTTTTATTTTTGACGTTATTCTAATCAATTACTCATGAACGCATAACATATCGAATGGGGAAATATCGAGAAAAACGGCAGACGATATCAACATATTTTGGTGGACTGTAGGGTTATAAAAATGTTTCTGTAAACTGTAAAGCGTCATTATGCTACACGAAATAGCTGAGCTCTCGTTGTACAATAAATACACGACCTGCAATAATATTATTAGATTAAAATAGTTAAATCATTGTATTTATTATAGATAAACTACTCATTTGTTTTATTGATCAAATACGACAAATTCGATACGATAAAAATTAATATAACTACATATTTATGTACCTCCCAAATATTTTTTAACTATAGTTATAAATAATAATTATATTTTAGATTCTAGTGGTTTTACAATGGTGTATATTTTTTATTTTATTTTTTTTATAATGTATGTACCTACACAAACTTTTTACCAGAAGGAATGCTACGATTTCAACATAATAATATAGTACCTTATCATTAATAAATTACCAAAAACCGCTAAAAATGGGATTTTAATTTCTAAAGCTACGAATAAAGCAACGAATAAAAAATTATAATATTAATTCAACTTACTCTTATATAACGATATTATAGAATTGTATTCAAGTTTAATACAATATATTATACATTGGCCCACTTGTAACCGACATCCACTGACCAGATTATTTTATCAATTATATAATAGATTTGTAACATCCAAAATTTTCAATAGTTCTAAAATTTAGCTGACTAAATGTGAAAAATTGTGATGGTCTACCTACCTCTTTGCAAAAATACGAAATTATCATACGGTCTATGACATAATAATTGATGTACAACAATTAATATTTTTATAGCCATTTTGCATTTCTAATGTGAATATTCAACACTTAAAACGAATATTTTACAACGTAATAATCCCAAAAATAAAACTTGACAAAGGTTAGCTGATGCACCTAATTAACACAACTAGTTATAAATTAACCTAATTATAAACATTGAACTACTAACGTACCTACATGATAACAAATTTAAACAAATTACAATTTTGGGTACGATATTACTAATTTTAACTTAAGTACCTACCTACCTATATACCAAAGTAACAAAATAATGACTATAATCACATGGGTTTATCATAGTAGTAATTATATTAAATATCTCCCCACCAGGCGTTTTCAGTGCAAAATATGGGTTAATTGTATGTGCCATAATATTATTATATCTACTAACTATATAATAGTAATGAAACAACAAGTAAATTGTTAGTAAATTAACAAAAAAAAAAATCATGTGTGAGCTACTATTAAACTATAGTGGTTGATATAATATAAGCTATAAATTGAGTTGTGCAGGATTATACCGGTAAAAATGTTTTCGGTAAATTTACCGGTAAAATGTACATAAATTTACTTAAAATTCGGTAAATTGGCAAATGCCTCAAGTCCCGACTTGTTCACAGGAAAAACAATTGTATCAACTTGTATTATAATAACTAATAAAGTAATAACTAATGTATTTGTTCTTACTCCGTTACAAATACAGTGTTTACAGATAAGCATTTTTTTCTTAATATGTAATTGCTTCTGTGTACCAATTGGTGATTACACTAAAAGTGTATTTATTTATGTATCTTAGAACTTAGGTAGTAATATCATCCAATAATATTATTGTAAATTATTCAATTTTATAATCAGGGCTCGAATTTTATAGCGTGTGCTTATTATTATAGGATTCAGATAAAAAATAGCCGAGTGAGCTATAAATTTGTTCTATGCACCAGGGTCTCCAAATATGAAATTTTATAATGCTATTTTTCGCAAATTTGAAGTATCTTAGGTTTTCAGTGCAATTTTTCAAGTTTTGGTGCTATTTTTTGCTAATTTGCATAATCTAACGTTTTATTTTATATTTTCATAAATCTAGTTTATATTATGTGGTATGAAAATTATGAAAATGTTGTCATTTACTTTAATTTTTTTTTTTTGAAAAAATCAGCACACGACCTGTGCAAGACTTAACAGTTCAGTTGGGACACAACTCGTGTTGTAAGGTACCCCACTTTTATCGTTTTGGCATACAACTCGTCGACTACTTTTTGAGACATATTTTTCGAAAACTTTTTGACTCGTTCTGCAGCAGCAGTAGCCGCAGTGTCTGGGCCACAAAAATAATTTTAATATTTATGAAAATGTGTCGTTATTTTTCAGAATTTATTTCAGCGTGCGTGAAGATATCCAAGTATAAGACGTACAGCAGGTACGAATGTACAATATTGTTTTTTTGTAAACCTGAAATAATTTGAATACAAGGTTAACATTATAATATAGGTACTCCGATAGCTTTGGCGAATAGCTGTTATAATAATATTACAAAAATAAAAAAATGAGCTGCCTGCAAATAGGTGGGTATACCTCTGCAGTACGATAATATAATAATAATGATAATAATAATAATAATAATGATAATATGTACCTAGCGAAATACACCTCGACGTATTGAGTATAGGTCACTGCAGTAATGGATGTTTTAAATTTGAATCCAATAATGATAAATCATTGCACATTATACGAAAAACGATACCGAGAGCAGTCGGTCTGACGGCCTATATATATTACAATAGTATCTATATAAATGTCACTAAAATATGTTGTTTTTGATAACGCTATTAAAGTAATATTTGTATTGATATTATAAAGAGTGATCCGTTTAAGCGAATACGCTCGTCATTTCGAAAACGTTCATCGTTTTTGGAAAGTTATTTTTTTACATACAATTCGATGGCATTACGATATTGTAACGAGACAGAAACATCTATACATGAAGTATCTGAAAATAGTGAACATACGATGATCATTATGCTCGTAATAAGTAGGTACCGCCGCGCCGCCGGACGACAAAGAAAGTACTAATAGTCGTCGTTCGCGTGAACGTGTGTGGCTGGTACGCGCACTAGATGGCAGGCGCGTATAAAGAATTTTATTTCGGGAGGGGCTGAACAAAATTATCAACATAGTCACACAATAAAATAAAAAAGTGGGTAAGTGGATGTCGCTCTGCTGTACAGTAGGTTACAAGTGGGTCACTGTAATGGATGGTGTAAAATTTGAATTCAATGATATAATATCATTGTATAAGAAAAACGATTCTAAGCGAAAACGGTCCAGTCAGCCTATGATATTAGTTATTACTAAGTATATTTGATGATATTATTGTAAATAAAGTAATTTATATATTTACCTATTTACGTGGACCATTGTTTTAAATTTTTAATCCTTAACTATGAAAGTTGAACATTTAATAAATTTTTAATTACAAAATATTTATTACATTTTAAATTTGATAAATTTTGTCAAAATTCGAACTTTAAATGATTATAAGAAAAAATTGTGCCTATGTATTTTTAATACTTTTCAACTAATATTGTTACAATATATCAGGAGCCTTGCGTTAAATTTTCATGCTTTTTTACCCAACAAAAAATTTGTTATTGATATTTATAGAAAAAAAACTAAGAAAAATGAAAACTGTCAATGTCCGTAAATAGCTCAAAAAGAGGCTAAATATTTTCAAATTTTTTTGGTGTATAAAAAATGAAAACATTCAGCAAAATTTTAAGTTTTGTGATTTTTCCGTATTTTGTCAAGATTCGAACTTTAAATGCTTATAAAAAAACTATGACTAAGGATTTTTAATATTTTTCAACTGCTATTGTAACAATATAACAGGAGCCTTGTATTAAATTTTCAAGCTTTTTTACCCAACAAATAAAGTTTTATTGACATTCATATTTTTTGGATTTTCTTGAAATTTCAGGGGGGCTGCAGCCCACCCAGCCACCCCCATAAATACGCCCCTGCTAGATGGACTGTATACCTCGCCGCTCATTTCGCCGTGCGCGTACCAGCGACAATTTGATGTTTAAACTTAAAGTTATCGACCCTATGGAGCTGTTAAACACACAAATCATACCAGCCAGACCAAGCGTCGCAAACACCGAAGAATACCAGTGAATACCACCGAAACACAAGCACGCTCAACCATAGGCGTGTCTACGGTGGCAGCCTAGGGTGCCTGGGCTGCCCCTTCAATTTTTGAATGGCGCCGGTCAACCAAGTTTTAAATCAGAAGGGTCACCATTTATTTTATTTTTTAATTTTATTTTTTTGTGTGTATCGTTATAATTAGTAATTACCATTTACTTACAAGGATATGTCCAACAAAATTAGGTAGATAATATCTTTATTTAACATGTATTGTCAAATTGATATCCTGACTTCGGAAATCGAAAAAACCTACTATAAAGACTTGAGATGGTACGTTTCGCATATAGGTATTATTGATATTATTGTTGTATTATGTTTGATTTGTAGCTAGATGGTGTAATCCAAGGCTGTAAATGAATAGGGATCAAAATTTCCGAAAAAAAAAAACCCGGGGTTTTTAACCGTTT